TTCAACAGTTCCCATAAGGTTTGTTATCTCCTGCCTTGCTTCAATTCCTTCTTGATCTACACAAGCCATGAGAAGAACATCTTCTTTCATGTCTCCATGGGATCTGTCCTATGAAGGCTTATAGCTGGAATAGTGAGCTTGCTGGTTTGAGTACCACTCTGGACACTCAGGTCTAAAATGTCCAAGTTTATGACACTTGAAACATTTCATATCTTCTTTGTTCCAGTCTCTTCCTCTCCTACCCATTCCACGTCCAGCAGAACCTGCAAAGTTCCCAAAATTCCCTCTTCTTGGACCTCTAGCCCCCTGCCACCAAACTCATGAGTGGTTTGAAGGGCCTGATCATTCTCAGCTGAACTTTTCTTATGAAACTTACGTTCATGGACAATTATTGAACTTTGCAAACCATCAACAGTCAATAACTCAATATCCTTAGACTCTTCAATCGAACACACCACATAACTGAACTTCTCAGTCAAAGTTCTTAAAATCTTTTCCACAATCTGCACATCAGTCGGATTTTCTCAACAACTTCTCATTGAATTGGTGACAACCATGACACGACCAAAGTATTCAGTAATGGTTTCCCCCTCTTTCATTTCCAGCAATTCATAACTTCTCCTAAGAGCCTGAAGTTGAGCCTTTTGGACCTAGCACTACCCTGATATTTTAATTTCTTAGAATCCCAGAGTTCTTTTGAATGGTTCTACTTGGTAACGGTTTTGAGAATTACCTTATCAATCGAACTGAAGAGATAATTCCTGGCCTTCAGATCCCTAGGCTTCAAGTCGTCTAGGGATTTCTGCTCTACCTCAGAGAGTCTCTCGTCTTCAGCTGGTTCCTTGAATCATTCACTCACAACATGCCAGTAATCCTTAGATCGAAGGAGGTTCTCTGATATGAGCTTGAATTGCTTCCATTCCAAGCTCGATTTGTTTGTTCAAGAAGTTAAGCCAACTCATTTGCGCAACCTGAGTTTTTGGCTAAGTGTTATGACGAGTTCGGGTAGCCTACTTTGCGAGCTCGAATCTTTCGATTGGGTTGGTATAAATGAGAGGTTAAGTTGTTGGTTTGAAGATGAGAACTTCCTCTTTAATATGGCGTGGGATTCGGGCTTATACAAGGCCATTAAAGCTGTGTTTCAAGGCGTCAAAGTAGCTATCTTAAAACTGGCAAACTGCCAGAATTTGGCTAAGTCTAGAAGCATGGTCAGGAAGGTCACATTGGAGCTCCGTTCAGGGAAGATGGGATCGAATCAGGAAAGGAGCTTTGTACCACATGAAAGCGTGGTTGTTTGTATACATAAGCAAGGTATTGGCTAAGGAGAAGGAGACCTGGAGGGATGTGAACGTGAGGCTCAAAGATGCTAGGGAAGCCTGTTTTGGAGGCAGATTGCTTAAGCTAGAAGAAAGGGAAGTATGAACGAGTTGGAAGTCCTTTTTAGTTTGGGATTGTTACCTTATTCATAGTATAGTTTAATTAGCTTTCCATGTTCGTTTTGTAGTTGAATTAGGTTTAAGTTCGCCTATTTAAAGGCCTAGAACTCCATTGTAATGGTTGGACATTATTCAATTAAGAACCGTGTTCATTGAGTTTTCCACTCGTGGATTGTCCTTGTTGCTTGGTTCGAATCGCCAGCAACGAGCGAGCCTTGTATCGATTGAGTCATCACCTCGATCGTGGTCGGGTTGCTACCTTTAACTTGGAGCGAGCCTCTTCCCCAATTGGTGTTGAAGTTGCACAATCCTCCCCCGTTCTTCTTTGAGAATTGGGTTTCTCCACAGGAAATAAACAGCAAGCTTGCGTGTACGAGCCCTTGACGAGCGTGGATAATTCAGCCTCGTAGAGTTGGGGATTATCAAGTGGTATCAGAGCCCGGTTCAACGCAGTGTCCGTGAGACGGTTTCCCGTGGTGGCAGAGACGACTCTGCTTTGTGTCGGCCGAGCAGAGGAGGAGAGAGGGGCAATGGGGTGGAGCACCTCGCGCGACGTCGAGCTTCGCCAATGCCTCTGACGCAGTCCCCACGACCCTGGGAATCTCCTTCGAAGGCAAAGGCGACGCGAACTCCCCTCATCCGCCAGCTCAAATTCGACGTCCAACGGCCCCGGTTGCGCACAAGGAAGAAGGAAGTTCGGCTGAATGGGTTGGAGTGCTCAGGCCTGATTCAACCCAAACGAATTCGTCAGAATCATTGCTCACGTCTTCGATATGATGTAGGATTGATCAATTTGATTCGGAGGATGCTGGAATCGAAATGCCCCAATCGACAACACATATTCTGTGTGGGTCGTTTTTGAATGTCGGCGTTGGTGGGAGAAGCCGAGGAGCTGGGTCGCCACGAACGGCGACGATTCGGGACCTGCCGCCGGTTCAGGAAGTCGATTGGAGGTGTGGCCAACCTCGTGGGAGCACTGAATTGGATTGGCAATACCTGAATCGAAAAGCCCCAATCCAGCTGCTCAAGAACACTGTTTTCGAATTGCAGAAAATGGAGTTTGGAATGCCATCTTTTGACCCGATTTGGACTGAGTTTTGTGCAGATTTCGAGAAGAAGAAAGAACTAGCTTTGAGGGCAAAGCTTTTTGAAGAGGGGGAGCCTGATATGAGCTTGAATTGCTTCCATTCCAAGCTCGATTTGTTTGTTCAAGAAGTTAAGCCAACTCATTTGCGCAACCTGAGTATTTGGCTGTGTTATGACGAGTTCGGGTAGCCTACTTTGCGAGCTCGAATCATCCGATTGGGTTGGTATAAATGAGAGGTTAAGGTGTTGGTTTGAAGATGAGAACTTCCTCGTTAATATGGCGTGGGATTCGGGCTTATAAAAGGCCATTAAAGCTGTGTTTCAAGGCGTCAAAGTAGCTATCTTAAAACTGGCAAACTGCCAGAATTTGGCCAAGTCTGGAGGCATGGTCAGGAAGGTCACTTTGGAGCTCCGTTCTGGGAAGATGGCATCGAATCAGGAAAGGAGCTTTGTACCACATGAAAGTGTGTTTGTTTGTATACAGAAGCAAGGTATTGGCTAAGGAGAAGGAGACCTGGAGGGATGTGAACGTGAGGCTCAAAGATGCTAGGAAAGCCTGTTTTGGAGGCAGTTTGCTTAAGCTAGAAGAAAGGGAAGTATGAACGAGTTGGAAGTCCTTTCTAGTTTGGGATTGTTACTTTATTCATAGTATAGTTTAATTAGCTTTCCATGTTCGTTTTGTAGTTGAATTAGGTTTAAGTTCGCCTATTTAAAGGCCTAGAACTCCATTGTAATGGTTGGACGTAATTCAATTAAGAACCGTGTTCATTGAGTTTTCTACTCGTGGATTGTCCTTGTTGCTTGGTTCAAATCGCCAGCGACGAGCGAGCCTTGTATCGATTGATTCATCACCTCGATCGTGGTCGGGTTGCTACCTTGAACTTGGAGCGAGCCTCTTCCCCAATTGGTGTTGAAGTTGCACAATCCAACCATCCATTCCCCTGTTCCCCTGTTCTTCTTTGAGAATTGGGTTTCTCCACAGCAAATAAACAGCAAGATTGCGTGTACGAGCCCTTGACGAGCGTGGATAATTCAGCCTCGTAGAGTTGGGGCTTATCATTCTCCATCATTAGGCTCCAGTGTTTAAAATCGCCATTGAACCTTGGAATGCACACCTGTGCAAAGCGGCTACTTTCGCTCATTTTTTGGAACTCACAGAACTCACTCTTAGCACAATTATCAGTGCTCAACTCACCCCCAGATCAAAGCTCCTCACAATAATCACTCGTGTTTCCCACTACAAGCAACCCTCTTTGCTTGGACACTGATCACACACCTTACGCTTAGGTTTTCTGGTTACAGCTTGCATCGCTCTGATACCATAATGAAAGCCAAAATGTATTGCAATCTGACGACTTTCTTTATTGATAGATGGAGAATATAAATGCACAAACGAGCCAAGGAAATCAGCCTTAACAGATGACCTCAATCCCACTCTCCTACATATCTGCAACATGACTAAAAACTGCTGAAAACTAGCTCAAGCTGTTATCGACAACGACTACTAACTCGAATAACCAAACTTAGAACATTAGGTATTAAACTGTAAGACTCCATACGATGTTGTTTTATTCAGACTAAAACCTAACAGACTCAAACTCAAACTTTGGCGCCAAACTCAGCCAGTCCTCCAATGCCACGGGTCTTCTTGTTCAACAGAGCCTCCCCTGATCTGGAAAAGGGTCTTCTTGTCCAACGGTGGGTGGAAAAGGAAAAGCAAATTTGTCCCCTCCCCTCACTCTAACATCATAAAGGAAACACAGTCCCTCCCTTTCTATGCCTAGAACGATAGGATACAAACATTCTCCAAAAAACAACTGCCAGAACAAGCCTAAAACTCCACATTTTCCATTGATACTTGCTTGTTAATTCGTTATTTTGTATAGCCAAATACCTCTAATAATTTCACTTTAACAAGACATAGAGAAATAAATCAGGGGACAAAATTGACATTTTCCCTCCCATTTGTCGATGTCGAGTTTCCTAAATCTTCGTTCAGCAATGGTTGGAGATTTTTTCAATGAAAATTTTGACAGAAGGGCATGTTTGATCATTTTTACAAAGTACAGTGGCATGTTTGATGTAAACAATATTAGAGGGGCATGTTGACGAAAATAATAGTATCCAATATTATACAAATATCATACTAGTAAGTTTTACGTTTAGTTGACAAATAAATTGGACACACGGTAATAGTAATGCGAGATCAAGAAAGTGAGGATCATGGGCTAGAGAGGGCGCAAAACTGAAGGCGATTCACCATCCTTTTACAATGCCAATACAAGTAAAAAAGGTCCAAGACTCGTCATAAGCTGAAGAGCCCGTTGTCGTCTCCCATTCATCTCTTCAACCCATCAATGTGATGTCTCAACTCTCATCCCTTCGACCTTGAAGAGGGTGCTCATTTTGTTTTTTGGGTGAAAAAGGCAGGGCAGAAGTGTCCCCTCCCATCACTCTTAACATCATAAAGAAAAAATTCCCTTTGTTTCTATGCCTAAAAGGCTAAAACGATAGGATACAACATTCGCCTAAAACTAAAAGCAACTGGTTAAAACTCCACATTTTTCATTGAACAAAAAACACAGCGCAGGGTAGTTGTTAATTAAAGGAACAAAGAAAGGAAAAGGAAAATGATCAGCGAACCCGATACAACAACAAATTAAAACTTAGCCAGAGCATACAATCCACTTAACCAGCTCTAGCTAGCAGTACGCACTTAACTTAACTTGACAAACAAACAAACTAATACCAAGTCAACTAATTATAACATTTCTCAGGCAACGTCCCCTGCTGCACGGCCAGCAGGGGCCGCCGCCGTTGGCAACTGAAGCTCCACGTCCTGTTCCTGCTTGAACATCGTCAACTGATCATCACCATCATCTTCGTGCTTCGACTCTAACTCTGCCAGTGGAGCCACCGCCACCAGCTTCTCCTCCATGTCCTTCCCCCACAGCACCGCGTACAATCCCCCGATTATGAACATCGACCCTATCAGCCTGCACATATCATCACATTATATTCACTTAAGTTGAATTAATCAATATCATCATGATTAAGGGTACTACTAATGAATAAAGTACTTACGTTCCCATGAACAGTTTCTCGCCGAGGAAGGCCCAACTGAGCACCGCCACCACCACAAGCAGCAGCGGAGTGAAAACGGACACATACAGCGCGCCTCTCTTCTGTATGCTCCAAGCCGTCAGCGAGAACCCCAGCGCCGAGCACACTATCCCCTGAATTATTATTTAATCAAACAGTATAATCACCAGTTAATCAATCAATTAATTAGACTGGTTCATGGTAATTATAATTAATTGGTTTATTTCGTTGTTAATTACCGCGTAGAGCGCGGCGGCGAGGCGGCCGGGGTCGCTGAGGGACCACTGCGACACCTTGTGGTTGGGCCCCGCGGCGATGAGGATGCACTGGACCGAGCCCATCAAGCACATGAGCCAGCTGCAGGTGTAGGGGGCCGGGAAGCTCGCGCTGACCCGGGCCTGGAGGACGAACCACAAAGCCCACGAGAGCGCGCTCCCGATGATCAGCAGTGGGCCCAGGAACGACGTCGCGGCGCTGGTCCCGCTCCCGCTGCTGTTGGTGGTCCCGTCGTCGTTGTGGATGACGTGGATGCCGGATTCGGGGATCTTGATGATGTGGCCGTGGTAGAACGACAGCAGCATCGCGCCTCCCACGCATGCCACCGTGCCCAGCACTTTCGCCTGTCCCGAAATCCTCTTGATCCCCACCTTCTCCTGCCTGCGGGTGATTAATCAGTGTCCTTAATCTAATTGGGTGATTAGTGTTGTTTGGCGGAGTTAATTATGCTGATTAATTACCTGAAGAGGACGGCGAGGATGAAGGTAAGCGCGGGCAGGATGTTGGATAGTGCGCAGCCGATTGTTGGGGTCGATAGTTGCAGCCCCACGAAGTAGAGGACCTGGTTTCCTGTCACTCTGCCAAACCCAGGTACAGGATTAGGTCGGGGTTTTAATTAGTTCAGTAAGTAATTAAGATTAATGAAGATGATTAGTCAATGATGGAAAAGGGATTTTATTTACCCAGTGAGGGAGCACCAGAAGATGTTGACCAGCAGCGGGATGGTGATCTTTGGTAAGGTCTTCCTGCATAATTACCACACCCAAATAATGACCAATTAAAGTTTGAACCAATAAGTAATCATATAATGATCACCAGCTTAATTATTATTACATGAAATAAGCTGAGCTGGCATGCATGTTTGACATCCTGGGGAGGTGGGTTAGGCTAGAGGTAAAAAGTCAGAGTAAGGATTCACTGATTGGGTCACTCATAAAAGTTGTTTTAATTTTTTACTGGTTGAGTTTAATTGACGGGCGACAGTAATTAATGAAAACACTACAGGCATTGGCATGTGTGTGAGGGAAGAGTTCTGCTCTCTTGTGTCGCTGTCAAATTTGCCAAAGTAAGACACCAAAACGCACCGTTTCCTCCTTTTGCCCTTCCCAGAGAATAGGTGTTGTAATGGAAAAGAAGACGAATTAATTAATTAAAATCTGAACGGAACCACAACGAGCAGCAGCTTCCATGAACCTGGTGAGCAGCTGGCTGCAAGGAAAAGGGAACTGCCACGTGGCGCTCATGCATAATACTATACTATTAATTCATTATTGGGATCAACAACCCCCATAACTCATACGAAATCTCTGCCCACCAACTAATTTGAGTAAATTCCCATTACGTGAAATTAACCCACTCTACTACAGCTAAGCACTGTAGGCTGTAGCCATCAATAGTTACGTACAGATCGATCGATTGCCGGTTGGTTCGATGAATAATCGACCCAAACCCGAAACCGGGCAGCCAGCCAGCTTTTGCCGTGTACGAAAACCCCAACTCGACGACGGCCGTCGATCTATACCCCCCACTTTAACCGAACCGCCATGTGAAAACAAAAACAGAAACCAACAAACCAACCATTCCAAAACGTAGCAAAAAGACAGAGAATAAGCTGGAAAATGGCGTTGCAAAAAAAAGCCAGTGGATTGTAGCCAAGTTATACTAGTGCATGGTACGTAAGAAACTGAACCACACCCATTACTACAGTTTTTGATCTGACAACGAAACTAATAAAAACATTCATATGCATGTATCAGAAAGCCAACATTATAGCTATTTATATATACCTCTCCATGTAGAAGGCCAAGGGAGCGAGGGAGACGGTGGCGAAGATCTGACGGTAAGCAACGAGGACGAGAGGCTCCATTCCGGCGTTCATCGCCACCTTGGCCAGCACGTTCATTCCGGCGTAGCCGACTTGGACAAGAACCATAACCAACAGCGGCAAGAAACCCATTAAACCCTGCGCCATTGTTTGATCTATCTATCAATCGTTTCCCTTCTTCACAACAACGACACACTCTATTATTTGCTCGCTAGCTATATACGGGATTCGTAAACGTACGTATATATATATATATAGCTAGCTAGCCTTCCCCGCCCCTGTGACGACGAGGCCGGGGGGATTTACTACTATACTATGATCTCTCTCGATATATATAAACTAAGAGGGCTTACGAAATGCAAGTGGAGAGATGAGGAAAACGAGAGAGGGTTTATATAGGAGAAGTTGGGAGAGGAAAGAGACAAAAGGAAGGGGGTTTAATTTGGTATATTCAATTTTTCCATGAGATGGCTGGCTTTGGCTGTAGGTGAAGCTTTGCTAGGTGTAATATTGTGTGAGCGCAGTGCATGGGAAATAAAGGGGAAGGAAACGGTTTAAAGATCCACTTGTGCTATTGCGTGGGGGTTTAAAAGAGAGCCCAAAACCAGAAATAAAGACAGTCGCATACAAATGTGGTTTTGGCTATGCTCATCTCCCCTATGCCTTTCTGTTTCTCTTTTCATTGTTTTGGTCATCGTCTATGGTTCTATATATATATGCTTTTTCTCTTTATTCTCATTTGTCTTGCTATGCCTTTACACCACTCGGCTTTCCTTGCTAGCTCCCCACTTTGATTCTTAAACACAAGACTGTATAATGCAAAGATATCAATAATATATACTTGGTGCTTTATTGTTTTGTTGACTGGATATCTTATGAATGGCTAATGGCTAGCTAGTTTGATTGGTTTTGTTCCTAGCTTAGCTTGTTTTACAAAATGTTTGGAAAGATCAGACCAATCATACATGTAATTCTTTTGAATACATTGATAATCTTTAATGTTGTTATTGATGTAGAAAGATGAGAAAGCTAGTTGTATATATATGATCTGATCGATTAGTATTATTAATATACACACACAATGTTTCATGTCACAATTAGTGCAAAGAATCTGTGAACATATATCTATGCATGATCGATTGACTGAAGTGGTACGGGACATTAAATCGGGACTGGAATAATAGAGTTTGAATGAAGTTGTTTATTTGTCCAGTAATATATTGCACCACCTTTGCTTGCTTAATTGTTAATTAAAACTAATTTAATTTGAAGGACCCCCCCATAGGATACGAATAATAGATACTTTCTTTATGTGTTGATGAATTTCGTACATGAATTAATTAATGCTAGCTAGCTTTGTATATGTCATCTCAATCATTAATTGTATAAGTCCTTGCATGATTAATTAATTCCATTCTTTGTTACACATGATCTATTAATCATTTAAAATTCCTCAATCATACTTTGCATTAAAAAAATCTCATCAATTAGCAGTAGGCATATAAACATAACGTAATAATATTAGTGCGTACTAATCAATAGGTGGAAACGGAATACGTAATAATATTACGGATGACAGAATAAACCAGTAGGTGGAAACGGAATAGAGTAGAATTTGAATGTTGTTTGTCCAATATATATTATTCAATGCATATGATCATTGGTTAGGTGAATTTGGAAAGCGATATAGTTAGTGATAGAATTCCTGTAAATGGACAAAATCCTAGCTTAGTCCAAATGTGGGAAAATTTTACTAGTCCTGCTGCCACAGACGTTTTGTCTATTCCTCATTCTTTCAATCCTTGTAACGGCAAGAACCCTAAACGATATTTTTGGGACTGAATCAATGTGGATCATCACAGGCCACAACGTATAGTCTTCTTTTGATCATGCAACAACCGGAGGTGCGCAGGAACCCTGATTTCTGATCAACGACAATATCCTATATGTAGGCTAGCTATATATCTTATCTTTGTTTCCCTTCTTTTTCTAGAGGTGCATTTTGTCTCGTAGCGCAAAGTGGGAAGTATGGTGTAAAATAGAATCAATGTGGTTACGAACTAACGTGTTCGCAACATATCTAGCTAGATGCTATGGCATACGCCATTCTTGTTCATATATGAATCTGGCTATCTGTTGCATGGATTAGGAATTACACGGTGGGATCCTCGACCCTTTGATTTTCGATCAAATGGTTGTTGTTATGTATCTATGGTATTGGAAAATATTAACGAAAGACGCGTGATAGGGTGATACGGTTTACATTTTGTGCATACTTGTGGAGTTGTGGTCTCTACTCTACTTACAAATATCGTAATTAGAAATACATGTACATAAAATTTATAACTAGTATATGAAAATAAAACAACTTTTTAAGACTCTCTACCTCTTTCTGGCTATCTAGCATGACTCAATTTTCTTAAGCTTCAATTTCCCCCAAGATCCTAGCTCTAAGCTCATCATAATTTCCATGAGTTTAATTTATTTCTTCTGTTCTCTTGATTATTCATTTTGATATTTCTTGCTTGTCTGTGTGGTTACAACATTTTTTATTTATTTAATAATTTATTCAGTCAATTCTGCTCATATCTCTTTATGTAGCACCCAATTAAAGCAACCTATAGACACAGCATGCAAACTCAGTATCCACCCTCCTAAACCTTTTTCCACAAAAAAGTCTAGCTTCCTAGGTATACTTCACAATTCTGCCAATTGGTGATAGCTATAGGCAAGGAAAGTGCATTATTGTGGAGAAGACTAAAACCAATCAAACTTTACTCAATTCTAATTCGGGATTCAATCTCGTTTCGACCAATCCAATGCGTTAATTTTTTTCCCTCGCTGCGAGGGTCGCCCAATCGAGAAATAACCTCGTGAATCGCATGGTAGAACACGCCGTGTGTCTTCGTACATCTCGCGCGCAGTCTTTGGTAGTCTCCTCTCGGATTCCGCAACGTGCCCTGCAGCGACACGAACCCGCACGTTTATTTACTTGCCACATTCGTTATTGTAACGCCAATATTACTTGAAAAGTAGTATTTGAATGTACGCAACGTTCTTGAATTTTATTCTACCGTTCTCCAACTATCAATGATTGACGTGTAACCGTACTGCCGCATGCGCATTTCGGAAATTTCGGAATAAAAGATTCGTCACATGTCCATATACTTACTAGCTAGCTAGCACTTATGCTTTGATATCCTTCTTCCCTAATCATCTACCTTATTATTTTTAGTCATTTCACAACAATTAATCATATATATCTCATACAATAAGTGACGGAGCCACGTTTAAAGCAGGTGAGGATAAGACCCTCTAAACTCTCAAAATCATTTTATATATTACATGGAATTTTTGTAATAAAATTGAGAAATATAGAAATTGGAAAAGTTTTAGCCCAACGTCAATTCAAATTTTGTGGTCATAAATTTTTAATCTCAAATTATTCAGATTTCTGACTCCGTCGTCGACACTACATACAACTCTCTTTAGTTTCTAATCGAGATGGTGATTAATCATATATACTTGGGTTTTCAGTTTCCTGAAATTCATGATCAAGTCGTATGTTGTTCGATCGGCTAGCTCACACAAAAGGACAAGTATATGGAAATAAGGTTAGATTGAAGTAGTAAGCACGAGCAAGGGGAGGTGAGAATTGCATGCCAAAAAAATATGCATCAGCAGCATCACGTGAACATCCCCTCTCCTCCCCCTAAACCCTCCAAAAAAGCCAAAGCTAACGTTACAACCTTAGTACCACCCCCACGTCGTCCCATAATCATTACCAGTTTCTTTGGCTGCATGCCGATTACTGACACCTGAATGGAGCCGGTTTTAACAGCGAAAAGTATGGTACGTAACGTCGCAACGCAACAAATAACAGCATAAATAAAACTGGTAGTGTACATCAAGTGAATGGTCATTGGGGCTGTACTTGAAGCATGAAGTGGTTCTGATAAAGTAGCTAGCGACGTGATTTCGCCACCTGGACCGAACTTGTTTTAACAGAGAAAAGTATGGTACATAACGTCGTAATGCAACAAACTGTAGCAGAAATAAAGCTGATAGTGTACATCAAGTGATCAGTAGACATTGGGTTTATACTCGAAGCATGAAATTGGCTTGATAACGTAATGACTTGATTTCGGCACCTCGATGGAACTTGTGTTTAAAGGTTAAAACTCCGGTATGTAATGTCTTAACACAACAAGTAGCAGCAAAAATGAAGCTGATAGTGTACATCAAGTGAGTAGTCGTTGGGTTTGCACTCGAAGTATGAAATGGATATGACAAAGTAAGATTCGATTCTTCCACTTGGACGTCGGAGCTTGTTTTAACAACGAAAAGTATTGTACTTAACGTTACATTGCAACAAATAGCTAGAGAAATAAAGCTGATAACGTGGTGAGTAGTCATTGAGTTTGTACTCGGAGCATGAAAATGTATATGATAAAGTAAAGACTTTAATTTTTCCTCCAACAAAAGGGATGTGTAACACTGAGCGATTCGATAAATTGTGTCTATAAAGTCGTTGGGCGACCTCAAATACATTGTTGAGCACATTTGAGCTTCACGTAATAAACATATATGGAATCGATGAAAAAGTGGACTAGAACAAGCATACATATATATGACATCGTGATAATCTGAATGGAGATACATACTATACAAAAATGGTCCCGAGTCATTTCCTTGATGATATAGGTTGCCATTGACGGTTATTGGGGTTAACGGGCCAATGATCGATGCCTCGATCCAAGTCCAGAATCCACCGATGTATAGAGGGCTGAGTGATGGCCCATTTGTAGACGAATCATATGAAAAGCCCATTTCGTCGGCATTGAATTTTCTAATCCTGCCAGTTGTCCAATCCCACCGTCACAGACTCAGAGACGACAAGATAGAAGACAGCAGTCTTCACTGTTGAGTACCATCAATTTATTTATTTTAAATTTAATAATTAATTAATATATACAAAATGTTCCTCCGCCGATCGAACTCCATCGGCATCATAGCACGCACCAGTCACCACCATTACTTCCGCTGCTGCGAATCTCAGAGAAGACACTGCACAGAAATCAGAATCAAACACTCCCACTTCACTCAGCCTCTCTTCCTCTACGATCACTCCAGTTTCGGAACTTTCCACAACTTTTGCTCTTCTTCGTGAAATCATAGTCGATTACTTACTGCTATGGCGGTCGGCCGGCGTAGCTTCCTCCGCGGCGTCCTCTTCTCGTTCCTCTACATTTCTCTGGCCGCTTCTTCTCTGCCAGCTCACTCTCAATCTCAATGCAGCAGCGCCCACCCACCCGTGATCTTCAACTTCGGAGATTCAAACTCCGACACCGGCGCTCTCGTCGCCGGCCTCGGTTTCCCCATCGACCTCCCCAACGGCCGCTCTTTCT